CCGCCCGAACGCCTTTTCGAACTCAGGCCCTGACACAGACGCCGAAGGCTGTTTTTTGTGCCCATTACAAACTCCCATGTGACATAAACATACTTCCCCTTTTTTTTTTTTTTTTTCTTCGGGATGAGGTGGAGTCGATAAATACAGGATGAATGTCCGACTCTCAAACATATTATTTGCTACCAAATTGCTAGCAAATTGGCACAGCAAATCATCACCCTCCTGCGCAGCCCACCAAAGGTTACTGTCCTCTTGCAGTGATATGTAGAACATTAGCCTTGGGATACAATCATCCGCTGTGCTGTCTTCTTTACAGCATCTGTTCTACTGTGCTCTCCGTTCTGTTCTCTGCCCAGCCTAGCTTTGCTCTGCTGCGAAGTGTTGTGTTTGCTCTGCTGCGAATTGTAGTGTTCTGAATTTGTGGGGTTATATTCGAGCAAGTCGTTAAGGTCTGCCAGTTCTGCACTTCTTTGCCATTAATCTCAGCTGTCCTGGAATATAAGCTATATCGGAATGTAGGGAAACAGTAGAAGCCCTACAAATGAGACCAATTGACGATACAAGAAGCCACCAGGCGCTCTGCTTTACTGCTCTATTCTACTGTGCTCTTCTGTTCTGTTCTCCATGCGGCCTTGCTTTGCTCTGCTGCAAAATGTAGTGTACTGGTGTATATTCAAGCAACTACTGTCTTCACCTGAGTAGAGCATAGTTATTCTAGCTGTATTTGGGATATCGTTCAGTCCAAAAACAGCAATAAATGCCAATAAAAATTATAAAATGCCCATACATTGTATTGGGGCGAAGGCGGTAGTCAAGCTCTGGTACTGCTCTGCGTTGCGATTAATCTCAGCTATCTTAGCGTACCAAATCTCGGAATGTACTAGGTAGGAGCTTGAAAATATATTCAGTCGGTATCTGAAGCCATGTTCCGCTCTGTCTCCCTCTGCGATGTTATGCTACCATTGCTACGATTTGCGTATGAGTTTTGATTTCTCATGTTTTCCGTGGGCGACGTACTGGCAGTTGAAGTCAAATCCCTGTTTGGATTACTTTCTATCTTGTGATTGTCTGCTATTCTATGCTATGCTGTGCTATGCCATTTGTACCGATCAGGTATGTATGTGTGCTCTCCTTGCAGGACTCCAATACCGGATAGGAAGAATCTCTGGCATTCAATATCCAGAAACCTTACGGCAAATGCATTTTTGGATCACTTTCTTAAACCACCAGTACTTGGCCCAACTATGGGCCGTGGAAAAAAATAGAGCAGAAATGTTTCTAACCGGATGAATTTGGGCGCCTCTGTAGTGGCCCGTACGTTTCCTAAAGTCGCGGTTTTGTTTACAAGGACGACTGTAGGAAGTACCGGTGGTTTAAACTTTTTAAAGTTTCTTTGGTATGAATGTGACTTGCGTACAAGTGAAAAGCTTATTTCGTATGCAATTAGATCTTTTTTGCAATAAAAATTTATTAAAAAGGGTTTGTTTATTAGATGGGGAAAAAAGAAAGAAAAAGATCAGTTTGGGCCTAGTGGCGTGGGCAGTTAAGCCCAGCCCAACTACACTCGAATGGATGGTACGAAGTCCTCCGGAATAGCTTCTCTCGTTTTCGTCGTCTTTTTCTTTTCTTTCTTAAAGCTCAGGTTGTTGTAGAGGCTGGGTTCCAGACATCAGGTTACCCCGACAATTTTTTGTGTGGTACTTAGTGTGGAGGTATCCTTGAAAAGTGTGATTGTCTTAGCGTGGAGGTAGGTATTCTGAGAAGCTGTGGTCGGTCTTACACCCTCATTTTTTTTGTGTTTCAATGCTTTCTCATCCTGCAGGACAAGAATTTTCCACAAGTGGCAAGTGCCGTCATGAGCAAAGGTGTGGCACTGTACAACGATCACCAGCCGAGGAACTGTGCATGCCTGTTCTCTGGTAATCTTGCCGTCTATCTTGGCTGTCATTGGCTGTCAGTTTCAAACTCTCCTATGTAACCTGTAATATCTTCCTTTCTGGGAGTTCTGGCATCGATCTCGAACAACAGTACTATGAGTTTTTTCGTTTAAGCCAATTCATCTCTCTCTCTCTCTCTCTCTCTCTCTCTCTCTCTCTCTCTCTCTCTCTCTCTCTCTCTC